CATACATACATGAGTCATAAGTATGTATATTTGTATAGACATACATATACATATACATATGTATATATACTCAGGCTTGGGGCATGCGGACAGTGTTCGAATTCGCAGATACTATTGCATTGGGGAACGTGGGAGCCTGAAGCATTGGAAGAAAACAAATCGTCCCGAACAAAAAACTCATGTCTCTGAAGGTTGTTCGGCATTCTGAGATTTCAGATTCAATATTTTTTGACCACATTTTTCTCAGATGCTGGAATCCTGAATCTTGAAGCTTGTTTCTTTCAAACGGGCATAGAAAGATTCTGGGATGCAAGGTTCAACATCCCTAAACGCACTGTAATTGCTCAGATTCTGGAATTCTTTTTTTCAGTTCTGGGTTCAAAATTCGCAGAAAGGAGTTTGCTCAGATTCTACTGGAAAGCATCTACAGGCTACTAGCCCCCAAACCACGACCGAGAACATCGGGTATATACCCTTTAAAAACTTGCAGCGTATGTGGCTGGGTCAAAAATAGGGTAACCCCAAAATGGACTAAAAGTTGTGGTCCATATCCTGGTGGTTTAACTTCGACCCATACCCATGTAAATTCCATTCAAGCCCTGAGTGAGTTGGGGATGGGTTAGAGTGTCCTCCCGAAGAATAGCTAACGACGTGTCATTTTCCAATTTGGGTGTGTGTGTGTTTCTATTCTAGACTACTATTCGCTGGCATCAGAGGCCGTATACACTATATATATATATATATGTATACACACCAAAATACACGGCACAGGCGTTTTTTAGGTTTGTCCGACTAGAAATGGATGGGTACCGCATTCGATCCGTTTCATGCCCCCCATGTCCCACGGGCGCGGAACCGCCGAGGCTGTCGAGCAGCCAGGCCGCGGAGCTGCTGGCCATGGGCATGTCGCAGGGAAGACCCAGCGAAGTCGGGGGTGTCGGGTGGGACTTTTATTTATAGTCCCATGATTGGCAAAAAATATAGAATGTTTCCCAACAACCACCAGTCATGGGGGACTGGCGGTTGTTGGGAAACATTTTGCATTTGTTTTGCTTATTGTGGTTTAGTGGCTGAAATCCAACTCCACTTAGCTGCTAAAGTTTAAATTTTTGCTCACCTTCCAACGTCAACCAAGCAATAGTGGGTTTCGGTCCATAGTATGTTCTAGGTCCATATTGGGTTCTACGTGAGTTTCTATAGTAGTATGTATGCCATGTATGGCCCTGACCTTGTTCTAGGTCCCGAGGTTGCGTGACGTTTCCGAGGTGATTTGGGGGATTTCTAGGTCCCCCAGCTAGGTGCTCTTTCTCACCAACTGTTTTGGTTGGGAGGGGTTCCCCTACTAAAATAGACTACAGACAAAAGGGTACCCTTATTCTAACCTCTCTACTGGGTGACCTAGTGCTTATACCCCTTAGCTTCCTTGTTTTTTTGTCTCTCTTTTTTTTTCCGCCCCTTCTGAGAAAAGAGGGGCTATGACCATTAGGCCTTTTGGGGTTCATTTGCGGTTTAAGGGGTGCAAAAGGGGTATGTCCTTCTTGGCGGTTCCACCAGCCATCCGTTTCAACTTGGCTCTTTAGATCGTTGTCGCGTTGGTTTAGCGGTCGGATTTCCTTATTCAGCCGTAAACTTTTGGCGGATCGGAGGGCAGCCCGGCCTTGTTTATACCCCTTAGGTTTCCTGGTTGTAGACCTAATTTTTGCGGAGAGGGCCATGAACATCAGGCCTTTTGGGTTCATCCCAAGGGGGATGTAAAAGGGGTATGTCCTTCTTGGTGGTTCCCAGCCTTTATACCCGACAGCAAGACCAATCTACTGTTGGTGTTTGCATGTCACGGTTTTGGGTAGACCCCTTCAGAACAGAGTTGACTACAGCTGATGGCAAACTCATGTGAACAACATTTGGGAGTTGACGATTCGTTGTACTTGAATGGCATGACCGGTTTGGCGGTATGTCAACTTGTTGCAGGTTCAGCTGCTTGAGAAGGTGAAGGGAACCTGGTCGTTGAAGCTCGCTTTCGGTCCAAGAGATCTCGCACATATTTGGTGTCCTTCTTCGATGCGGGTTTGCAAATGGGGACTGCCTGAAGATGGGCAGTGTCTTGGCTTCCTCTTCTTTGGTTGAAGCCCATTCCCAAAAGGCTATGCTCAAACTTAATCACTTAGGCCCTGGTGTTGGTTACCGGTTGCTTTGTTGGGATGGCAAGTCATAGTGTTTGCTTTTGGCTTTGCCTTCAACCCCAAGGGAACCCCAGGAAAGGACTAAACCCCAAACTCTTTTGGGAGTCCCAAAAAGGGAAGCCCTCCCAAACCACCGTTTTTTTTTTCCACCTTTTGTGCGAAAATTGGCGACCCCCTCAAAAAGAATGTTTTTCACTACGATCAATTCGATGATTTGTCCACGAAAGCTGGCAAAAAGACCCCCTTGTCCCAAACAATCCAAGGCCATAAGGGGGGTTGATTCCTTTTCCATTCGTTTCAACCATCGTTCTTTTCAAAAACCGGAGCTGTTTCCCTGGGTGTTTGATGGTTTCCTGAAAAGATCCGGATCCCTGGAAAGCATGCAAATGGAAGGTACCCCTAGAAGAGCTGCATGGCGCTTGCTTCCAACGCCGGCTCAGGTCGGAGGATCCCTCGGATGAGGCCCTGCGGCACTTCCGGGCTGCTGCTCAGGAGGAGCTGTTGGAACGCTGAACTGACGAGAAGGGGAGCGGGGAGAAGGTGGCCGGGTCGAGTTCTTTCTTGCACATGCAATGGCATTGTGCACATATGTATATATGCCCATTGTTTTTTTTGTGAAAGGCCAATGAAAACCCAAGAATAATAATAGTAATAATGATAACAACAATAGTAACAATAGTAATAATGATAATAATAATCATAAGAAGAAACATTATAGAAACCAATGCGGCTTTTATTTAAAATTGTATAAGACATGTGGTATCCTTTACTTGAAGATTCTTTGATCCGTTTTGGATCTATGGGCGAAAACAAATATAGTGTGGCTTGGGGATAGCGTTTTTGGAGCTAGAAGGAAACCAAAGGGCCGGTTGAGCCACATGAAAAATGGGCGATGCTCCTGGGCTTTCCAACATGGAACCAACCAGAGGGTCCCTTAGCCTTTCAATGCACAGGGTCTAGTATTAGGTGATCAGGGCTCCTTAAAAGGTACATTTTGCCCATTTGAAACATGGCTTTTTCCACCAACATAAAGGGAAACCACCATTTGCAAGGCAATGTTCGGGTGTATAATGTAAGGATCCCTGGTGATGGCACAACGTAGCGACACAAAAAGTTGTGCTGCACCCATGATGGTGAATAATTTTATGCAGACATGTGCTGGCTTTCAGGGCAAGGGGAGAACCGCTAGCGAGGGACACCTTTGAAATGGCTGAATGGTCAAAGGACGAGCTTTCTGCTTTGACATGCCCAACACGGCCTAGGGAAGACTTGGCTCCAAGAACAGCTCGCTGGCAAAGACAAATGACAGCACAATAGGTTGCCGGTTTGCGAAAGGAGCTTAAAAAAGAGCCGCAGAAGAGGCTCGGAAGTAAGGGATAATCAGGGAAACTAGAAGTGGTCCCCAAGCAGGCAACTCTGATGGTTGCCCGTCTGGGGACCACCTTCAATTTTCCTTAGCTGGAGGGGTTCCTCAGCATGGCTGCGGCTTTCATCGCCTTTCTCGAGCGTCCCCAGGATCTCTACGGCTTCTGGCGGTCTGTGGCAGTGCCGAAGTTCAGCCGCTGGGGCGGCAAGCTGGAGACATAGACTAAAACCTGCGGTTTTCTGGTGGATTGATTTTGACCCATACCCAAATCATCCAACCGGGCAGTTGGACTACGTTGAAAGGTTTTGGCCAGCTCAGTCACGTATGAGAGGCTTCGTTCTCACCAGCGTTCCTACTATACCAGTAGCGGTTGCTCATAAAAGTGACAGCCCTGCTGCCACCGATTTTATCTAGCATCTACACAGGAGTCTATTCAATAATCTCGGGACAGCCCTGCCACCTTTAAAGTTGGAGACCATAACCTCCATTTGCCTTCACATGAACTAGCACCGAGATACCTTGGCCCGAAAGTTGTTGAACTTGGAAAATAGAGGTCCTCGCCTGAAAACATCCACCCTCTTCATGTGGTTCACCTTGGCCCATGCACAGCCGGTTGAGATAGGGCCTCCTGATAAACAGGAGCCAGTTTAAACTGGTGCTGATGAACTTGAGATAAATGAGATCTTGACCAGCACATAATTGTAAGCACAATTGTACATTTGACCGTGGCATGTGGCCCTCATTCCAGAATCTCAACCCTCTATGTATTGTATGGAAGGACGGCCGTAATAGAGCGGGTCCATTCCCCACCATCCTTTTCTTTTGCAAGAGCTAACCAGCCATCCCCTTAGCCTTTTAGCCTTTTAGTGTTTAGTGGTAGTTTCCATTTAACACACTAAGGGTTCTCAACTTTCAAGTGGGATCTGAAAACGGACAGCCCAGTTCAGAGCGGCAAGTAGCAGTGCAACGTTTTGGAGCGACCACAGGTCTCCTTTTTGGTTTTAGTCGCAAAATAGCTTGGATGGGCCACCTATAGCCAATTGGATGCGACGCTTCTCCGGACAGGCGGCGACTTGGATGCCACGCTGACGGAGATCTTCGCAGCCGTGCGCGGGAAGGCGGATGTTATCCGGGTCAGGGAAACCAACTAGCAGGGATACAGGGGGAACCAGGGATGCGGGAGGATTTTTCCGAAATGCACCCTGACTAAGTTTGATATGGGAAATGGGCCAAGGGAATCCCCCCATGTCCCCGCTCCCTCCGTATCCCCGCTGGTTCGTTTGTCCAACTTTGGTGAGCCACGTCCTCAAAGCCGAGGTAGATGGAGGTTAGTAAGGGAGACTCCCAGCCATAAGTAGTTGCGGATATCCGCCTTTTGAATGCTTGAAGCACGGTTCTGGGTAGACCATTTTAATGTCGAGTTTTGATTATGACTCAGGTGGTGATCTGGATTGGTTTGGGGATTTGAACCTCTGATGTAGAGGGTAAAGGGGAAAGGCACAGGAAAAAAACAAAAAAAAACAAACACCCTAACCAATCACCAAACCAAACCAGACACCGGCAATGGGGCTAGACTGAGGATCACTACTGCTGGCTAAGTCAATGTCGGAACATGCTTCCAAGATCCGTGCTGAGAAGAATCATCACAATGTAAACCATATCTCCAGGGCAAAGGTTTTGCGTTACACCGGCAAGATGCGAGATGACGACCCTGCCTGAACTCACGTGCGTTGGATGTTTGCAGATAATGTGAAGCTCCACATATGGTGGTTGGTTTCCCTTGGCTTTCCCTGTCGGCAACCTGGGCCCGCCACCTTCAGACGGCAGGAAGGAAGTTACGGGAAGCTGCGCTTCACTCCTTTCTGGCTCCTGCTTCGGCTCCAAAATGCACAACTGAAGCATCATCACACTAGCTGGTCGTGACCATGGACAAAAGTATGCCTTTGTACAAACACGCCCTCACCTCAGGCGTCAACGAGTTTAAAGTGTCAGGACGCCAGTTTCGTAGCAACATGTTAAGCTAAAAGGCCAACTGTCACAAGCTCATTTGTGTGCATGTTCCATAATATATCATTAACACGTTGATTGGGAGAGATACATGTTTGGCCCTTCGCGCAATGCTGAACAGCTGATGAATTGATTTTGGAGGACGCCGGGCTGATCGCTTTGGCGGCAGCAGCTTCTCGAGCTGATCTTGTTGCAAGAGCTGAAATGTTTCCAACGATTAACTCGCATCATTTCTCGGGCCTAAACTGACATTACAACCAGGCGGCTTGATCCTAAGACCGGCCGACTTGTTTCGACGCTTCACTTTGAAAATCGCCAGGTGAAGCTCAGCGAAACCGCGAAGGCGGCGATGAATTGCAAGAAGCTTTTGGACCGATGCATCGCCGAGACCTTACCGGATGGTGCGTTAAGGCCCGTCTCACATACGGTGGGCCCAGTCTGTGTTTATAAGTACGGATAAAGCAAGGGTGTTAGGTTGTACATGGGCCACCTAGGGTACATATCCCAGAAAACATCCTTACATATGGCTTACAGGTGGTTGTGCTCATTTCGGGCAATATTGTTGCAGGGCCTTAGTCTATTAGTTTGGAATTCTGTTTGTTTTTTGTTTGTTTGTGTGTTTGTTTATTCGTTTTTTGTTTGTTTGTTTGTTTGTTTGTCTGTTTGTTTGTTTGTCTGTTTGTCTGTTTGTCTGTTTGTCTGTTTGTTTGTTTGTTTGTTTTTGTGTGTTTGTTTGACCACAACATTTTGGAAGGACACGAGGCCAGTTTGGTTCAATGCTTGCAGACCCGAGAGAGCATTCTGCAAGTCGTCCAGTCGTCCAGTCGTCATGGTCTGCCCGAGTTCCTGGACTTTTCGCTTTTTCAGAAAACCGTTTGAGCGGAATCAGCAAGTTTGGACGCTTTTTTGGGCCAATCCACTTGATCGGAAGTGAGCCTTTGACCGGGGAAAGCCCAAAGTAAAGCAGGGGATGTGAGCTACCGGCAGACGTCCCCTCTTCTGAGGCCGCCTTGGACCTGGCCGCACGGGCCATGACGCTGCAGGCGCCTTAAGTTGAAACCCGACTCCGCAAGGCGCCAAAGTCTTCGCTGGATGGAACTCTATGAACAGTTGAGTCACTTGCTCAAAACCCAGTATTAAAATGGTCCCAGAACCATGCTTCAAGAATTAAGAAGGCGGACATCTGCAATTATTTCTGGCTGGGATTGTCCCTTACTAACCTTCATCTACCCGAATCGGTTTTGAGCACGTGGCTCAGTTGGGATGAACCGCCTCCCAAGTGGTGCAGGATTTCGTCCGTCAGTGATGGGGTAGGGTGAGGCGGGCACGTGAATTCGTGTTGCGGCAGATGTCATGTCAGCTCCAGTGTTCATGTTTGACACTGGGTCCTGCTTCCATCGTACCAGCGATGGGTCACATCAGTCAATCCCACAGACCGGCAAGGCTGGCCAGGGAAGTTTGGGTAGCCAAGGCCGAAGCTCAAAGAAGGCTCGACCAATGGAAAAGGCCCGAGCCCCAAGGGCAATGAGAGTGGAGAGTGGCCGTGGAAGTGCATGAAGGATTGATCATAGCCTTGTCTTGTGACCAAGCCATCAGTTGAATTGGCTTGTCACGCTCGAGACACCGGGTGGAACAGCTGCAGCTGGGTGGATTGGTTTGTCAAACATCACCGGGACCCGGGTGGAACACAAGGCGGCAGTCGATACCTTGTTCTGACTGCAAATCTCTTATGCATCTGGTGTTTGGTGGCGTTGACAGAGTTTCTTTTGTGTAGCTGGGCGCACTGCCATGGGGGACACTCATGTGTTGAGCCATGCCGGCCATCATGGCTTGATCCAACATATCTTGATTGGCACTACTTGGTTTGTAACAGTCATGCCGTGCCTCCTTTTTTGCTCAGAGAAGCAGAAAGGACAACGAGTTGTAGTGAGTGGTGAATTCGCATTCAATGGTCGCCATGCAGATCTTCATGAAGACGCTGACTGGCAAGACCATCACCCTGGATGTTGAGGCCAGCGACAGCATCGAGAACGTGAAGGCCAAGATTCAGGACCAGGACGGCATCCCGCCTGAGCAGCAGCGTTTGATCTTCGCAGGCAAGCAGCTTGAGGACGGCCGCACGCTTTCGGACTACAACATCAAACAAGAATCAACCCTGCACTTTATGCTGCCCATGAGGTGAGTGTTTTGTTTGTCCAGCCTGGATTTGTGTGCAGGTGATACGCAAATTAGTTGCACATATCCCTGCGGCAGGCTGGTCCGGAATTCGATTGCCTCCGAAAGGAGTGTCTTTGCAGCGTCAGCCCTACATGTAGCTGTTTCTGAAAAGGCTGACTGCTTTCTTTGTAGGCTTTGAACAACCCGAGCCTAACACCCTGCCATCTTGCAGCACTTGAACCATTGAAACCACCCTGCTTTAAACAAGCCCTGCAAGACATGTTTTGACGGCTTAGCTTGGTGGCAGTGGGGAATTGTACAGCGACGCTCTATCAGATCGACATCGATTTGACAGATCCACACCCCTTTCTGCAAAAAAGAACAGGTGCAGGGCTACGCTGTTTAGGAGCCGTCCTGTTGCTAATCCTTGGCCTTGAAGTTTGTGCGATATGGCCATGGGTCAAAATCCCGTACCCCAGTGAACATCCCAATCCCCACGACTAAAATAGACTAAAATGGGTGGTGCACCTACCCCAAAATGGCTCATTGGTTTTGACCCACAGCCATATTATGAAATGCATGAGAGTTCGACTTATCACCCAGGACGAAGCCGGCTGTCGCGTTACTGGCCGAAGCAGCGGGAGCTCTACTGGTCACTTGGCATTTGGAGACCCATTCAAGTGTTTGCTGCCTCGAAAACTTGCCCTCGAATTGAAGTTGCCGAGTGTGGCAGGTTCCGGTGCCAAGTACCTACAATGGTTCCACTTGGCTTGGCTTATTCAACATGTTTGACTCCTTGGCTTGGCGGGATTGAACTTCCGTAAACATTACATGCGCGATTCAGTCGCGATTCGCTGCGGCAGCGCCCATTGCTCAAAATTGGCGAGCGCAGGCATTCAGACGACTCGATCATTTGTTTGATGAGTAATATCCGCGCCTAAGTGCGGTGACGCAATGCAGTGCGGCTTTTTGTGTGAGTACTCGTTTTGTCATTGGTTTTCCATGAATCCTTTCAATACTTTGGCTCTTTTGGCCGTTGGTAATCCATCACTCCTTTCAGAAGCTTGGGCTTGGCTCTTTTTGCCATTGGTTTTCCATGAATGCGTTCAGTACTTGGGCTAAATGCCATTGGTTTTCCTCGCATGTATCTTACATCTCGATATAGTGCTGCGTGCACAGTTTTCTCAACGCACGAGGAATCACATGCATCACCACAGTGCAGCATCACGCTTCAATGACATGGCCAAGACACAACCTTCGGTGGCAGAACCTTTGGCTTGGATGCATTTCTTAAGGGTACCCCAACCGAAAGCGAGGTGTTTCTGGGCACATCAACAAGAGTTCTTGACCGGCCCGACTGCCCTGAGGTACGACCCCAGCATTGCGCCCGCAGCCTTCCACTTGGAGGACGAAGATTCCCCCGTTGTGGATCTTTTCGCTCAAAATCACCCTCCAAGCCCAGCATTCTGTTTGGTAATACAATTGTGGATCCATTCAAGTGACATTCTCCAAATCACCCTCCAACCCCAGTGTTGATTTTGGTAATTCCCCAGCATTATTTTTAGATATTTTAGTATATAATTATAACCACCAAACTCTGTCAAATGGACCCTGTTGCTTCAGCTTTCATTTTGCTGAATCCGGGGGGGAAGAAAGGGAGATTCTCTTTGCAAACACGCCGCGAGAAAGTTCGGATCCTCGCTAACCTTGTAGTTTTGTTGGGAGTTGTGCCCCTCGCAAACCTTTTACGCCTGGGAGTCTTGGAAGGGCAGAAGTTGGGTGCGGTTCTTGGCTTTGGGTTTTGGTGAAGTGGACCAGCCAAAACCCAAAGCCTTTTATAGGACGTCGAGAGGCTGGCGGAGGCCGAGCACATTGCAGCCGCTGCTGCGCCTTGCCCAGAGATCCCACATAATATATATACATATATATATATATATATTTATACACACATTATGTATCAAAGCTTTCACCGGATCATGGTCGCTGGAGGTGCTGCCTTGATGCTTCGCGCTTCAGGAGATTCGAGGATGTTAGTAACTATTTGGTTTTTTGACCGTGGTGGGGTGCAATCTATTTGGTGCGTAGCTGTTCCTCAGAAGAAGGTGTTTATTGAGTAAAGGGCGAATAGGAAGGTGATTTAGAGATATGAAGCGCCCGGACTTTGCTGTGACGCTGAGGCTGTTCCGGTTTCCAGTCCAAGCAGCACAGCCAACGGCAAGAATGGCAACACGCAGAAGACGATGCAGGAGCCGCGCAAAGTTATTGACCACTTCAGGGTGCACATGGTGGC